ATAGAAATGAATTGGGTCAGCATTGATTGGCACTAGGTTGCAAGGTTCTTATATTTGGTGTCCTATTGCTTCTGATATTATTTAGATTTTCATTCCTTGATTTTCTTATGAGGATTTTCAGGATGTGTCTCCAACTGTGGCAGAGGCAAAGTCCGGGGCAGATGTTGCTAGATGGCTGCTGATGTTCTGTTGATGGCCTTTATCTCTTTGGGGCTTTTCCCAGTCTATTGATATACTGAGTTCATCAGGCCTCACATAGATAAACAGTGCCCTGGAAAGAAACTTCAATTCTCTTTCCCCAGGGCAAAAGTGAACAACTCTGGATAAAGTTATACAAAATTTTAAACTCATACATTTTCCAATAGGAGAATGTCACCTGGGAAATTCTTTACAAACTAGGCTAGCCAATTTGGTTTCTGTTATGGACAAATTTACCTGTGCAGCTTCAGAGCAGCTGTAGTTGTGACAAGCATTTCTCCCACACTTGCTATAGCATATGCACACTTGCATGCACACAGACATAAAGAGTCTGTACAAGGTACTTGCAAAAAGTTCCCCTCAAAGGTAGTGAAATACTCACTTCAGATGCCTTTGCATCTTCTCAACAAGCCTAGGGTTGAGCCTTAAGGAGTGGAGATCTCAGCCAAGTATTCATCGTGATTCAGGGATTCTATGAGTGCAGTAAACTTGAGAGTTCACTCGCTGAGAGGCCCCACTCAGAGGGAGGTTGCTGGCCACAGCCTCTGCAGTCCAGAAAGGCTCAGAAGGTCCCTTTTGGACCACTGTTTATAGGACAACAACACAGTGGGCTTTAGTCATAAAATACAGGAGCTCATTAGACAGCAGGAGTTCCTCAGAGCAGTGATAAGCTCAGGAGGAGCTGAGACCAGGTGCTGTCCATCAAGGCCAAGGCCTAATAGGCATTGCTCTGATCATAGTGCAGCATGGGGGCAGGGGGGGACATAGGGGAGAAAATGCACCACCATGCTGGATTGGCTGCCCATTTCATTTTGTCCATAGAGAAAAATTAAACTTTAATGTATATATATACATATATATATATATATATATATATATATATATCCATGTGTGTATATATGTTGGAATACCAGGCTCTTTCTTGCTCCAGGGTCAGGGCAAATAAAACTCAGACCTTATTTTTGAAGTCTCACTCTGAAGTTTATTATCCTTATCTATTATAAACTCACGAGATGTGAGCTCTCTCTAACAAGTCAAGAAAGTGAGCTAAAATGGTGTCTATACAAGGCTACTTAAGTCCCAATTACCCAACAGACAGTTGACACCTATATTATTTACACTTCTAATGCAATTATGATCACCCAAAACCTGCAACGTAGACATCTTTCTCCCAATTAGAGAAAACCACCCAGATTTATGAAGAAGAAGGTGCAAAAAAGACATCTAACCCACATACAAAGTTCTCCATCTTGGCTCCCATACATCACCATACACTAAAATCCCAAATCTAAGTTTTTTCACCCTGTGAGATCACACAATACTATCCAAACTACACACACACTGTTTCTGTGCTATCACTCAATTTTGGAAGCCTTTTCCAAGGTCTCAGGTCAAATAAGGTGTTTACTTGAGGGTTGGCACCCTTAAATTCAGACAGCTCAAATGTTTCAGCCATCAGAGTTCCAACATATATTGGATATATATAGATAAATTTTATCTATGCAGAGGAATTATATATAAAGAAATGTACAACTATATTTTGTAAATGTATTTTATTTATACCTAGATACACTTTATGTTTGCATATTTTTTTGTAGAATCATAGAATGATTAGGGTTGGACGGGACCTTAAATTAGTTCCAGCTCCCTGTTGTAGAACTTCTGCTTAAGGTCATTTGCCCTTGTCCTGTCAGTACATGCCCTGACAAAAAGTCCCTCTCCAGCCCTCTTGTTGCTTCTCTTAATGCACTGCAAGGCTGCTGCTGTGAGAACCCCGGGATTGATTCAGGGGTCTCGTGTGGTGGTAAAGTCTCTCCTCCAACCCGTGCTTCCAAAGAAAAACTCCACAGCCTCTTGTTGTTCGGTCTCAAGGTAGTTTATTGCTAGTTATCTAAAAGATTGTCTTCGCCCGCTGCGGCTGCTTTGGTCTGCGGCCCAGGCAGAGGCACACACTCTCCTGACACCCTCACTGTCCGGTGTCTCCGTCGTCTCTCTCCCCGCCCAAGGCTGCTGCTATATTTTATATGATATATTACGTATTATATGTTTACAGATTTTCTCCAATACCTACTATCTATGTTACAATGTGCTCTTCTACTCTAAACCAATCTGTGAGTGCCAACATCACCAAGAACATGGAGGTAAGGAAGAAGAAGGAGGAAGAACAGGATCAGCCCACTTTCCTCCATCTTAGAACTCCTCACCCCCATGTACAAAGTGAAACCCCCCTGTACAGGTGTTAAAACCCCCCTGTACAATACTAAAAAATTTTCCCCTCTAATTTGTGACTACTTTTACTATACCATCTAACCCTCTGTGACCGCTTGTTCCACCTTCAAAGTTGGTAACTCATTCCATGGCTCAAACTCAAGATCACAGCTGTTTTCAGCTGCTTGCCAGGGTCTAAAATGCTTCTGACCAAGGCCTGGAACCTCTGAAAATGTCTGAGGGACATTTTGAGTTCCGATATGCTGCAAGGTCTCCCCAGAACACCCCCAACTTTCTCAGCCTGTCTGTGGAGCTGGTGTGTATGGGGACAGGGCACAACCTCGCCAGAGCAAGGTCTGACCCACCCTCTACCACACATTCCAAGCTCCCAAGATGTTTCTAAATAGATCATCTTTCCCAGTCTCTGATACAGGTAACTCCAGCCTGAAATCTCTCATAATGTGATTGAGTGGGGCTTATTCTCCCACCAGCTTGCTTAGAAACCAGCATATCTTTTAGCACCCAGTGTGGGGCAAGAGAGAGAAGCTGAAATTACAGTTTTTTTCTAAAACATTTTTGTATTGGGCTACAGAAAGTCCCTGATTATTATGATGCCAAATATATTCAAATGTATGTTGTACTTTACCCTGTATCTATTTCCACACATATAGGGAACTATTTACTCATTGTGATGGCCTTTTTAAGGCCAGGGAGAGATACCGAAGTTGGTTTGTTAATATACTATGTTTATTTTATTGTAACATCAGAGGCAATGAATTTCATTTGGAATATATATTCAGTCCTGTTTGCCTCTGCTAACCAGATCTCACCTCTGCCAGGCCTGGAATGAGCACCTTTCTTTCACAAATGTCTCTCTTCTGTGCTTATCTCAAGTTCCTGCTGTGGTTTGTCTTATGGCAAGTTTCTTCCACTGTGATCTTGACAGTGTTTGGGACAGGCAACTGTGCTCTTTAAGTCCTTACAGACCTCTGGAGGTCCCTTCCAACCTCAGCCATTCTGTGACTCTGGGAATATCCCTTTGGTCTGTTAGGGTCAGCTGTCCTGGATATGTTTCCTATCAATCTCTTGCCCATCCCTTGTTCATTGTGGCCTTTGGGGGAAAAATTATTTACATTGAACCTGCTCCCTTTGGCTTGGAACCAAGGCCACCACACTCTCTCTGCTATGATTATTTGACCAAAAGTGACCCCTTGTCCTCCTTCCCCCAGCCCCTGCCAATGACTTAAGGTGGGAGAGAATAAGGTGGGTCTGGGCCACACACCCATCATGCTATTGCAGAAATTACCCATCCGGGCTGGAAGAAGGACAGCTCAACCATCTACAGCCTCTCTGGGTAACCTGTTCCAGGGTTTCACCACCCTAAATCTAAGAAAATTCTTCCTTGTATCTAAGTCTGCATGTACACACCACAGAGGCCTAACAGGCCTTAGAGTAGGTGTCCACTACTTTTCAAGGTGTCCACATTCTTTTCAAGGATGCTTTGCCAAGGACCAAAGAAAAACAACAGTTCAGTTTCTCATTTTTGGGACCACAGTCCCCCCCATTTTCTTCCTGTCCTGGTGCCGAGGGTCTAAAGAGCAGAGATCATCTTCTTTCTGAAGACAGAGGGTATCACCACACCCTCAACTCTTCTCTGTTCAATCCACTCCTGTGCTGGTAGTCACTGAAACACGTCTCTTGGCTCACCAGACATCCCCCTAAAATGTAGTCTCTCTTGGAGACGAGGATTTGTTCAGTCTATGGTTAATAAGAAAAAGTCTAGCCAAAAGCCATTCCATCATCTCCTCCCACCTAGAATTTCGTCTTCTAACATCTCGGGTCCCAGACTGTCTCTCTTCTCTTTCAAATCAAGGAGGAGTAATATTTCACAAAGCTTTCATCATCCAAGAAGGGTTTAAAAGTCCAAATTCCCCGAATGGACAGCCGGACTCTATGCCCAGACCTCCGGCTCCTATGCTGGGCACCTTCCTTTGCCCCCTTGCTCTTCTCCTTCCCCGTGGTGCACTGCTGACAGACCGCAACTGTCTCCCTCTCTCTCTCTCCAGAGAGACTCTGGGGGGGGAACGCAGACATCCCAGATTTTTCTCCACCCTTCCATCTGCAGGGGGCCAGCCTGGTTCCAGTCCTTCCACCCTTTGGCCTTACCTCAGTCAGCCCACGGGCTTCCCCTCTCCCACCCAGCCACCTGGCTGCGGGGGGGAAGAGTCTGCACTGCACTCTGACCAGAACCAAAGAGAGAAAGCTCCCCTGAGAGTTATGGCTTTTAACACCTCTGTGTTCTCAGAGGCATGTCCAGCCTTCAATTGGTCAACCAAAGTGTCAATATCCAACCCCAATCACTGACTGGCATGACCCTCTTCCTTCTGAGAAAATTCCATTCCGTGTTAAACCAAGACACATTGTTCCAGAGGGTTGTCAAATCCAATTGGCAAGCCAAAACCACTACACCCCCTTCCTGCCAAATTATTCTCATTTTGAAATTAAAGGGCTTTCAGGCAAAGATATGAGAAAAGCAATAACAGTTCTTTACTAGTGTGTGTATGGATGTAATGACAAAGGAATGGACTCAGACCCACACTGAGAAGTTTATTGAGAGAAACAAGATGTTTTTATGCACTTCAAGACACGGTATTTCCTTATATGGTGTTTTGCTCTATCACACATTGCCATGTCAACAACACATTTTCTTAATGTCCTTATGAGGTGATCACGGGTTGTTCAGGTGTCTGGCAGCTTCCAGCAGAAAGATCCAGTAGAAATTCCTCCTGTGGAGAGGAATCTTCCCATTTCATAGCAAGAACCTGGAGAATGTTTCCCAGGAAAGGTTTCCAAGTTTACCTTGAAAGGAAGTCCAGCTTTTATAAAATGAAATCAGCAAGTCAAAGTGACTTGATTACATTTTTAGTATAGTATAGAAACAGTGGGTCTGATGGCATAATTGACGCTGTTAAGGCAGGACAGTATGAAAGAACTCCAATTCAGAAGGCTTGAGAGTATTTTGCTGGGTGCTCTCTCTCCCCCCTGCTTTCCCTTGCCCCGGCTAGCTCTGGGGAGAAGGGGAGCGGGCAGATCTCCAGTGCCTCCCGCTGCGCCCTCACGGGCTTTGGGCGGAGCTGTGTGGGTTTGGAGAGCAATCAGCGAACCCCACGGCGGTTTAATGAAGAGAGTCTTTCTCCAGGGGGCGAATTCCGATTTATTGCAATCCAACGGGGAAAACAATAATCCGAAGGGACCCAGGCGAGCCGCGCTGGCGTTTGTCTGAGCTGCGCTGGCGGGCAGGGCGGAGCGGCGCACGCTGGAGCCGGCCGAGAGGAAAGCCCCGGAGCGGCTTGGGCGGGGCAGCGGCGCGCACTGGGGCCAGCCAGGAGAAAGCGGCGGGCGTGCCGCACCCGCAGATTAAGTACAGGACAGGGGAAAACTGGGGCAGCCAATGGGGTAACGCCACGGGGGGCTTGAGGGTAGTGGGGTACGGGGGTACATCCAATGAAGGACGGACAGGTGGAGGGTCCCAGGACGTCTGCCTATCGCCCGGCTTCCCGGGTGGAAGATTCCAGGTGGGGGGGAGGGATACCGAGTGACAGACAGGCATTTGGGGTAAACACAGTGACTCGGCATTTCTTGGGGACAACGGACCCGCGGGGAGAGACGGGAAGACCCGGGGGGAATCGTTACAGAACTGAGGGTACATGGAACAAACTTATACATAATGCAAATGTAGTAAAACATGAAAAGCACAACTCTACAGTATTTAAAATACATCATTCTTTTATAGAGAGCATCGTCCAGACCAATTCTATTGGTCCTAGAGTAAAAACATTTCCCACCATTGTTGTGCAGTGAATGATGCTCAGTGGCAGAACTTATCTATAAACAATATGAACAACAAGAGAGATAAAGAATTATTTACATCTCAACTGTTTCCCAGGTTTCTGCCTGGTTAGAAACTCTCCGTTTTCTCTCTGACTGAACTGAGAATATCCACACATAATTGCCAGACAGCCAGGACCAGGGCTTGGCCAAAGCCTAAAACTTGACTGGAAGGCTTTCTCTAAATACCTACAAGTAAATCTTTATTAATATCAGTTAGGAAGATGACTTCACAAGAACTTATCTTCCCCATGAAAAGGGGACAGATCAAAACACACAGTAACTGATAACAACACACATCTCCTAGGAAGGCGTTAAGGAGTTGTTTCCTAATGGAAAGGAGGAAACAAAATTACGAGAGAATGTTTCTGCCTACAGACTGAGGCTTAGCAGCTGCAGCTCTGTTCCTTTTTTTTTTTTTTCTAAAGAAAAGAAGTTAAATTATTTTAGCTCCCCTCTGCTTTTTCTTTCATCTGCAAGTGTAATCTCTCTCCTGAGAATGGCTACGGCTTCGATGCCTGTCTTTCTTCATATCCCTGGTCCTCTTCCTACAGCATTCTTCATGCTTTCGGTCAGAATCCTTAGATTTTTTGGTCCTCTTGTCATCTTCATCACGGTGGTGGTGCTTTTTCTTCTTCTTTCTTTTAGCCAAGTGTGACTGACTTGTGTGAGACTTCTCTACATCCTCATCCAGCACAAGGTCATACTTGCCATCTTGCTTTGGTTTTACTTTTTCTTTCAGAGCAAATTTCGAAGGTTTGTCACCTTCCTTCTCATAGTGCTTGGAATCTTCCTTGGTATACTGTCCACCTTTTCCCTTCCATTTAATCTTTGCAACAGACTGGCTAAAATCCACATGTATCCGTCTGTCATCTATCAGCACATTGTCCATTTTGAAGTAGGCTTTCTCACAGTCTTCCTCCTTTTCAAACTCAATGAAAGCATAACAAAGAGATTCACCAGTCTTCCAGTCTCGGATCACTTCGCAACTTTTAATGGGACCAAATCGTGAAAATATTATCTCCAGGTCTTCACCTGTGGTCACAGGATTCAACTTACAGATAAACAGCACATTTTCTGGTGGCTTGATGTCTGCATCTGGTAAGTCTCCCACCATTTCCAGAAGAATAGCATGACTTTTTGCTTCTTTTTCGGCCTGAACTTCTTCTATTTCATCTGCAGACCGTCCTCTCATGTCATCAATTTCTTCATCTGCTCCTATTCTCCCACTGTCAAGCTGTTCCTTTGTAGGTTCTGGTGAGCGATCAGGAACACACAAGCCAGGTGGATCATCAAAGGGATCATCTAAAATTACTGTATGATTTATCCTGATATCTTGATATGGGATAAAATCCTTACCTACAAAGGTTTCATTGATTTTCATCAATACATCCATGCCTTCTGTCACTTCCCCAAATACTGTATGTACACTATCAAGGTAATCCAGGTTTTCCCCTGTGGTAATGAGGAACTGTGATCCATGCTGATCACTGCCATTGTTCACCATTGACACAGTTCCTTTCTTCTTGTGTTTGATTCTGGGCACCTTTTCTGCCTCAAAAAATCTGGCTTGCTCACCATACAGTTGAAAAAATATGGATTCCCCTCCATGGCCAGTTCCCATGGGGTCGCCAGTTTGTATAATAAAATCCCGCTGTACATTATAAATAAGACAATAGTTGTAGTACTTGACTTTGCAGAGCTTCAGGAAATTCAGACAAGCGCAGGGCCGCTCCTCTGTGTACAGGTCGATGACCAGGTCGCCCATTGTGGTCTCCAGCAGCACCGCCATGCTCTGGAAAAGATATGAGAATAAGAATAACAGGTTTTTACCAGGAAAATTAAAATAAAATGCAGTAGTACAAAAAACACTGAGAGCCAGAATACAACCTGACACCCTGTGAGTCAAGGTGACAGCAGTAGTCTGAAAGAAATGGTGGCTGCAGTCGTCCTGCAGTGACAGCTGTGGTTCTGTGATCCTGGAGAAGGGTGGAGTTTCACTCTGCAGGTCCAGTGCAGGTCTTGTCTTCCTCTGGGAATACAGCGGAGACGGCTGACTCTGGTGTTCTACAACTCAACTTATATCCAGGTAGGACTTCTTGGCTCCTCCCCCTAGGCAGAGCATCTCACAATGGGATGATGTAATTCTTATCAGCCATGCAGTGACACTTAATGGCCCATTAAGCAGAAGATATCGCCCTGGAGGGAGGATGGGTCCTGGAAGAGATAAAGAAAACTGCCCCACCTGATTTTAACAGATGGTAATAATATGCATACTTTTGGTTACGCATTGCAACCTAGGACAAACACTTTTTCAATAAAAGATATTTTATATCTGAGGCATTCCTGTTTCAATGCCTCAGTGCTGGTGAGGCTAAACACACACAGCCTATTCCTGTACACATGCAGACACATATTCCTAACAAACTCACAGTGTACCCTGCAGCACTCAAACCTGTAATTCCTCTATTTTTCTCTTTTACCCACAGTTGAGACTCAATGCTTCCACAAAACAGCAGAGAAGGGACTGAACCCCGCCAGGCAAGAGCTGAAGAATTTGCTTTAGGACTCAGACCTGCCAATTCTGGCTATTCCATAACAAACCATGCAAAAAGGAACAACGGGGGACTTCAACCCCACAAAACCACAGCTGCAAAATTCACAATTCACCCAGGCAATTGCAAGATTTAGTATAGCCCTTATACCTAATCAAATTTCTGTGAATTCTTACAGAAGGAACCCTAATTTCCCCAACAAAACTCTTGTCTTACTTTTGCAACTAAAACCAAACTTGTGTGTGTACTGAAGACTTTAGAATTCATCGTGCAATTGCATTTTCTACTTTTAAGCTGGCACTAAGGGTCAAACCCACTTTTGATATTCACTTATATAACTTCACATATGTATAATAGAGGATAGCAAATTATACTATCACTAGTAATTTATTTTCATTATCCAATTATATCACTGATGCCAAAATATTTTTGCTTTTTATATATTTTTCATATATATGTAGCTCTATAGACTTTTATTGTATAGTTATATAGTTTCTTCTGCTAACTCCAGTATTTTTTTAGACAAACACATTCCTGGAACCCTATTCTAATTTTGCTGCTTCAGTGAACCAAAGCCATTCCACCTTTTCCATGTATTTAGGTATAAACAATGTGGAGCTAGAAGCAACGGTGAGGCTTCAGTAGGGGGCCAAACAAAGAGGGGGAATTACTTCAGTAGCTGTACATCTAACTGGGGATTCTTGTCAACTATGCTAATTTGCTAAACTTAAAAATAATCTAAAAAAATTCTCAATCATTCTTTTATAGGGGTTTCAATATTCCTGTGCTTACACATCTGATTGGTCAAGGTCAGCTCACTGGCCTCACTGCAGACTTAGCTGTCTGCATTCAGGCTTGAATGAGATCGGTTGGGGTTCCTGTTTGAGTTCAAATCCAACCTGTGATTATCTTGTCCTGGGGACTCATTTACTTCTACTCTGTAACAGCTAGGCTGGTCGAATTAAGATCTGTTATGGCAAACTTATGTGTACAGCCCACAGGCCAGCTGTTGCTGTGACAGTTCCCCCATTCTCTGTTTAAAAAGGGCGAAGGGACTGACATATGTCAGGGACATACAAAGCACACAACTCTCAAAGGTCCTTGTGACAAACAGCCTCAAGTTTATTCTCACAGCTCCTTTTATAGGAGCTTCAAATTTGCCAAGCTTACACATGTGATTCATTGAGGTCTTAGCACTGACCAGCTCTCTGACCAATAATATATCTGTATTTAGGGTTGAATGGCAATGGCTGAGGGTCCCTGTGTAGATTTGAATCCAGCCTATCCTTGTTCACTCAGGGACTGGCTTCCTTCTAGGCTGGTTGGGTTTGGGGGGCAGCTTCAAATCAGCAGCAGTGTGACAGACAGGATGACAGACAGCATGATGTCACAGATGATAAGCCCAGGTCAAATAAGGCTCTCCAACCAACTGGACAAGCTTAACCCCCCAGGCAGGGATGTATCCCATGTACTGTCCAGGAGCTGTCAAACAAGATCACCAGTAATACAATTTTCCATGCTAACATGCTGCAGGCTCATTACTTAGAAATTACAAATTAAAACTTAACACTACAAACAAAAAACAATTCAGCTTCAGAACTGTCAGAAAAAAGGAACAGAAGAAACATTTTGTCTTAGTTTAGGTTTGTGACCCATGTCCTTAAATAGATAAAATCCTTAAGTCCCCATATACCAAATATATCTGCAAATTACAACTCAACACTACAAACAAGAAACTTTTCAACTCAAAACCATCTCAATTAAAAACACACATCCTTCTGCTACTGATGTTTCTCAAATGTTTAAGTCTTGGGGTTCAAGTAGAGTGATGGATATTGTCTTGCCATTGTTGACAACATACTGATTCTGACAAACTGTCAGCATCCTGAGTTATGTGGAATGCAAGTGAAAAACATGAGAGCACCCAAGACTTAAGTCTTTTGTGGGGGGTTTACACCCACCCCACACTTTTTTTTTCCCCTTTTACAAAAGTTTCATTCAGTTATGTACAAAACTTTTTCTGCTGCTTTGGATCCTCTTCATGGCATGACTGTTGCCCCTCTTCTTCCTCCCCTTTGTGTTTTTCCAATTTTGCCATGAGGTCTTTTGCAGGGTTGAAGACCCCGTTGATTTGCTTCTCACAGACATAACAGCGCTGGGATTTGCGGTAGTGCTGTAGGGCACAGCTCTCACAGAAGTAGTGCCGACACTTGGTGACCACAGGGTTCTGGAAGGAACCTCTGCAGATGAAGCATTTGAAAGGCATGTCCTCCTCATCACTGCTCACCTCATAGTTTCCACTGTCATTGACGCCGTAGTGGCCCTCGTCCAGCTCCCGTTCAATCTGCCAGCCGTGCTTGTAGTCCGAGCGGTCGTGCAGGAATTTGCAGCTATCCCCAAAGCCACAGAATCCAGTCTCTTTGTAGTCCTTGCAGATGTCAGGCTGGTAGTCCCAGCGCACTGTGGCCTGCAAGTGCTCCGGAGCACGCATGGGGCCTTTTCTGACCATTCCTGAGGAGGTATTTCCCATCGATGTGTCCTTGGGCTTCACATACTTCTGGTAGTTATTAATGCCATGATAAATTTTATCATCTTCCTTTCCTCTCAGCTTCTCCTGGATTTTTTGGCTGCGCTCAAAGATAGCCTGGGCATCCTTCTCCGTGTCCAGTTCATACACTGCTGTGGCCCCCATGTCTTCTGGGCCAACAGGTTTTGCCGACCTGGTTGATTTGTAGGTGACCCCGATTTCCTTGGCAGGATCCTCATCCTCGCTGCTGCTTGGCGCATACTCCAGCCTCTCCCTCATGCAGCACCTAGTCTTCTGGATCATGGAGTTGGGGGTGTCCCTGGGCAACTTCTTGCGCACCACGGTGCTGCCCTCTTCCCCACTGCTGTCCTGCTCCTGCTCACTGCCAGGCCATTTCCGCCGGCTGCTGCCTGCAGCTCGCACCCGCTTCTTGAACACAAAGCTGCAGACACTGCTCTCCTCCGTCATCATGTGCTGCTGATTAAAAAATAAATGCAGAAAACACTGGTTTAAACTGACAGATTTAGGACACAACCTGACAGCCTGTGGGTCAGGGTGGTGGCAGCAGTCCCATTAAATGGTGGCAGCAGTCCTCCTGGAGTGACAGATGTAGTTCTCTTAGAGCAGTGATCCTCTAGAAGGGTCTGGTCTTCCTCTGCAGCTTTAGTGGGGGTTACTTTGGCTCTTGTCCTCTGGGAGTCTAGTAGGTAAAGCTGCCTGTGGTGTTCCACAGCTCAGTTCATATCCAGGTAAGAATTCTTGGCTCCTCCCCCAGAGCAGAGCATCTCACAATGGGATGATGTCATTTTATCAGTCATGCAGTGAGACTCAATGGCCCATTAAGCAGAAGATAACTCCCCACAGGGAGTTATCAGGGATGAGTCATGGAGGAGATAAAGAACACTGCCCCACCTGGATTTTAACAGTTTATGAAGATGGTGATATAATACATACTTTTGGTTACATCTACATTGTAACTGAAGACACTCAATATAACAGTCTTCTTTGGCGAGGTTCAGCATTCTTGAATGTTAGACAATTTTACAAAACTATTTTTCATACTTGTTGGACTTGTAAACTTGGCTTGAAAATAAGTTCAGTTAAGGCTGGCTTGTCTTTCAGAGCCATAACCTTACAGGTCCAGGTATCACCAGAACCCAAATAAGCATACATATCACACATTACCACCCTTATTCCTCCCACTATCCTGGTTTCAGGGAGATCCCTAGAAACTATACCCAGGGAAAGAGGAAAAAGTCAGTGGGGAAAATCTTTCAGTAAAATTTGCTGGCAACAAACTTATAGCAGTCTGAAAAAAGAAACTTATAAGACATCAAAAATGCAACAATCACTAATGAATCTGAAGTTATCTAGTACCCTAACAATACTGATCAGCACCATGTAGGCAACAAGTTGGAGTAGCCAGATATCCTTTTGAGAACTTTTCTGGAACTACAGTCCAAATATTCCCCAACTACTGGTGCATATTCCTTTCCATTTATGGAGTTAAACTTTTCTAGCTTGATTTCTGCTAAGCCAGTGGTATCCATATTGTCTGGAATAGGCCACCAATGCATGTTTAAAATGCCTACTCCTCTTACATCCAAATATGAGCAACATTTGCAAAAAACCCATACTGTTATTCCTTGGTTACATTCAAGTAACTTCATTTTTTGGTGCTGTGCTGGTTTGAAAATAAACCAGTGTCTTGGGTGATTTTATGATTATAGTCTATTCCCTGATCATCTGTTTTGTGCCCAAAATGATTGCTGTACCTTTAAGGTGGGGAGTGAGAGAGTGAACCTTGGGGTTCTTCCATGGGCTTTTTCAAACATCACTCTCCGGGCATCTGTGGTGCTGTGCAGACTCCGTTCTGTTTTTCTTTTTTCTTAGCTAGATTGGCTTCTGTTAGCTTAGGCAAGAAGGTTTTTTCCCTTTCCCTGGCCTTGGAGAGGCTGTGACAGTGATCACTTGATAGCTTTCTCCAGAGAGAACTGTACAGTTTGGTTTTGTTCTGAGATCAGAGAGAACAAGAAGAACTGGCCAGAGAAGGCTGCTCCATCTTGGCCCCTGACCTCAGAATATCCAAGCCAGTGAGAGAAAGGACACCAAATCCACCTGCTTCATCTGCTGTGAAGAGGAGACCAACATCAGGGATTCACCAGGTTCCCATTTGCTTTTGTTTAAGCTTCTGTGTGAACCCCTTATTTTTAAGTTTTTTTTCTTGAGACAGGAAAAAAAACCCTAAAAACCTTTTCCCGGCATGTTGCCAGCTGTTGTGGGTTTTTATTTTCTGTAGAATTGTGGGTGTTTTGTTCTGTTGGTGCAGGGAGGGGGGTGGGGGGGTGGGGGGAGTGACTAAGGTCTGACAGTTCAATATCTAGAATTTATTTACCCCTTTTTTCTGTGCCATGTGGGCACTCCATTTGTCAATAAAGGGGTTTGAGTGCCCAGGACTGAATCAATATGCATATTGTAGACGGTTTGGGCACTGGAAACAGGAATGCCCCCAGGGGTAGAGGGAGCAGAGGGAACAGACCCACCCCTACTTCAGGAATGAAGGGGACCAGGGGCAGAATCTGCAGCTGAATCCCTGGTTACAATAGGGCCAGGGAAGAGGAAAATTGGCTTTTTAATAGACACATTGCCCACTTACTTGGTATTAAATATAAACCAAGGAAAATTAAGCCAGGAAACTGCAAATTTTGGTGGTGCAACAGGAAAAGTGGAAAAATGAACATTCTTTAACCCCATTAAATTCATAAAACGGTGGCTAATATACCAATTGTTATATATGCCTGAGTGTCTGGTTCCTCTTTTAGGAAGAGACCTGTTAAGCAAATTGGAGGCTCAGATTGTATTTAAAGATGGAGAAATACCATTATTGATACCTGAGACTAAAGCCATCAAGGGAAGGACTTTTATGTTGCAGGGAACACCAGAACCAGACAACTCTGGAGGAATACCCAGAAGCAGTAGCAAATGCAGTAACATCCCTGGTTTGAGCCAGTGGAACTCCAGGCTATTCCAAACAAGCTCAGCCTGTAAGTGTTACCCTAAAAACTGGATCAAGACCAGTAAGGCAGAAATTGCATCCTTTAAAATTTGAAGATAGAAGGGAAATCAAGAGCCTAATGACAATTTCAGAGAAAATCACTAGTGGTTTAAAGTGATAGATTTGAAGGATGCCTTCTTTTGCATACCTCTTGATAAGCAAAGTTAGGGCATTTTTTCCTTTGAATGGGAAAATCCCCAAACTGGTCAGAAGACTCAGCTTACCTAGACTGTGTTACTGCAAGGATATAAACAGTCCAACAATTTTGGGGAACCAACTGGCAAAAGAATTAGAGATCTGGAAAAAGAGAAGCCAGAAGAGTTGGTCCTGCAGTATGCTGATGACATCTTACTAGCAGCTGAAACTAATGAAACATGTATGGAATTTACTGTGAAAGCTCAAAATTTCCTAGGTCAAGGAGGTTACCAAGTATCTCAGGAAAAAGCTTCAATCATGAGGCAGCAAGTTACCTACCTAGGATGTGAATCAGTACCGGAACAGTGGAGGCTGGGAATGGACAGAGAAGAAGCCATCTACCACATACTCCAACCTGTGACTGCCCAGGATTTAACAGCATCTTCAGGTGTGGCTGGATGATGCAGATTGTGGGTCTCAGATTACAGACTTTTGGTCAAGTCATTGTATGAGCTTTTAAAGGAGGCCTTGGAAGGACCTTTGATTTGGACTTGCAAGGGTGAACATGCATTCTGTCACCTAAGGTTGGCCCTGATGTCTGCACCTGCCTTAGGACTTCCAGACTTAACAAAACCTTTGAACTTTCTGCGCATAAACAACAGCCCCTCACCCTTGGAGTTCTGGCTCAGAAGGTAGGAGACTTCAAAAGGCCTGTGGGGTACTTTTTGAAAAAGTCAGCCATGGGTGGCCCTGATGCCTGTTAGCCATAACTGAGACTATTCTCATCCAAGAGGCCAGGAAATTGACTTTGGGACAAAAGAGAGTAGTGCACAGTTTGGACACTGTATCAGGACAAAAAGAGGAGGCGTTGGCTTTCCCCGAGTCAAATGCTGAAGCATCAAACTTTGGGAATTAAAGTAACCAAAGGGCTAAGCCCAGTCCAATTCCTGAACACCCCAATGCAAGGAGAAGAGCCATTGACCTATGACTGCTTACAGACAATTGAGAGGGTTTGTGCTAGTTGATCAGACCTACAAGGTGTACACACTGAAGATCCAGCAGATTTCCTTACAGACAGAAGTAGCCTTGTGCAAGAAGATGAAAAGCCAGCTATGCAGTAATCTCGTCAACTAAAATAATAGAAACTGCACTGCTGCCCATGGACAGCTCCCACAGCACTATGAAGAGCCTTGAAGCGGCAGCAGGAAAAATAGTAAACATACGGACTGATTTGAAATATGCTTTTAGCTGCCCAAGGGGGTATACAGAGGGAAAGGTCTATTAACAGCACAAGGCTCTCCAATTAAATATAAACAAGAAATACTGTTCCTCCTTGATTCTATTCAACTGCCCAAAAAGTTGCCTTGCTACACATGCACACCAGCATGGGGATTCCCAAATTTGAGTAGGAAATAGACTTGCTGGTAAAGCTGCTTGAGAGGTTGCACAACAAGGCATCCTAGCATTAATACCTGAGAAAGAGATTTCACTTCCTGAAGGTAGCCCTGGGTATAGTCAGGCAAATTTAAAATTAGCTACTTACCTAAAAGCCCAGAATAAAGAGGGTGTGTGGCTGGTAACTCCCAATAAGCAGGTCATACTTCCATCACAACTGATGGTACAAATGGTAAAGGAGAAACACCAGCAGACCCACTAAGGAATCGATGCTACAGTGAGCAGTCTACAGACTCAAGTATTGAGTGCTTGTGTGACAAAAATTGTCAGATCTATTACAGAAAAATGCCCAATATGTCTTAAAAATAACTGTTCAAGTTTAAAAGGACCTCCTCCAGAGATCACTCAAAGAGGAAACACTCCCAAGGATTAGTGGCAAATTGATTTTTCTGAGCTACCACATCAACAAGGAGACAGGTATCTCCTAGTGTTGGTAGATAACTTCTGGCCACCCAATAAAAGTTTCTCCTGGTGCACCAACATGGCCAGGGAAGTCACCAAAGTACTCCACAAAGAGGTTATATCCAGGTTTGGAGTGCCTACAGGGATGTCATCTGATAGGGAACCTCATTTCATATCTGAAGTGTAACAGCAACTTAGTAGGCAGTTTGGCATAACTGGGATTTACACACTCCATGGAGACCACAGTCTAGTGGAAGGGTTGAGCAAATAAATCAAATCCTAAAAAGACAAATTATCAAAATATGTCAGGAAACTTTCTTGAAATGGCCACAGGTGTTAACACTAGCCTTGTAACAAATTAGAGTACAGCCCCAAACTAACCTGAAGGTGAGCCCATATGAAATTTGGGAGACTATACTCTGTTGCAACCTTCCTGGGTCCAAGGAACAGAATGCAAATCAGGAAATGGTACAATAATTAATTTCATTATGGGAATCCTTGAATGGGCTAAAAAAGTTTATCATTCCCTTATCATTCCTTGACACCCCAGTTCATTCATTTCAGCCTGGGGATCATGTATACATCAAGATCTGGAAACTGGAGCCACTTCAGGAGCATGGAAAGGACCTTATCTAGTTCTGTGGGCTGCAAGAACAGCTTGTCAGTGAAAGTGAAAGGAAAGGAATTAAGGAAACAAACAGTGAAAGTCAAAGGAATTAACTCCTGGGTATATTGAACCTGAATTAAGAGGGCTCCTGACTCAGAGTGGGCAGTGGAAAACACCAGATCCCTGCAGCTGAAAATCTTAAAGACATCTCTAAATGAACAGTCAAATGTATAGACTAAATACTTACCCCTTTATCTTTAGGTGGGGGCATGGAAGAAAATGTAATACTGATTTTAATCCAAGGGGTTGGTAAAATGTGCAATCTGTCCAGCATTAGAGCCTGCCTCCCTATGCCCCATTCAGCAGGGGAACACATTCCTTGGGGAATTATCCTTATAGATCTGTCAATAGTGATTAAACATAATACTCTGCCTAAGGTGATAGCAAAGGCAAATGTCACCCACTATCTGGATAAGAAGCAAAGATGCAGGTGACAAAGAGATGGTATTCTTAAAGATCTGATAGCTTGGAGGATAATAGGACAAAGGGGAGTGTCCAACAGGCTCCCATAGTCTCACCCAACATCTTTTAGAATTTGCTTTAGCAGCCTCTGGAGGCCAAGCAGCCAGATTGATAGATTTATGTTAGATTGTGAACATCCCAAAATATCTCAGACTTGCCAGAGTGTCAAACTCTCTGAAGCAAGCTTCACACCTGGACAAAGCCCTTACAAGGACAATGGGAGCACTTAAGGGAGGCAGGATGGTGCCTATATTGGGGAATCACACCTATGAATCACTCAAGTAAGGGTCAATAGAGGTAAAGAGAAAAACAAAACAATGAAATTCAGTCC